TAAGGTCTATAGAGAACTCCACCTGCCGATTAGGCGGTCCTCCTGGAAGCTCATCTTGGAATACGTCCACAAACTCTCGAACGACTGGAACGTCGTGAGGTGAGCGCGCTTTCTGGGAATCATCAACAAGGCTCACCAGATAACCCCGGTAGTTGCCTCGTCTCAGCAACTTTGTGGCTTTCGCCATAGAAACAACATGAGGCAAAGAACGGTTTCTGGAGCTGAAGAAAGTAATCGACTCATCCCTGGAAGATAGAGAGTAATCTCCCGGTCATGACACTTGATATCTGCATGATAGAAGGATAGCCAATCCATTCCGAGAATCAGGTCGAAGTCCTTCATCTCGAGAACAAACGCGTCGGTAGGCAAAACTCGGCCACCGATGGAAAGGCTAAGATCTGAGGCTTTAGCTGAAGTCACTATCTTTCGTCCCGAGGCCAAACTCACCTCGAGAGGATCGATAGCGGAAGTAGTGCGAACTCCGATGGCATCAAGACATCGTCGTGAAATGAAAGTATGCGTCGCTCCGGTATCGAACAAAGCAAATACAGGAACATTATTAAGAATAACCATTCCGGACATGGTACGTGGCTTCTGCTCGGCCTCTGCCTGATCGATAGCGTAGACTCTGGCCTGTTGCCTACCCCTCTGCTGCTGCTGCTGAGGCTGCCTCTGTGCCTGCTGACGGGGCTGCTGCTGCTGCGGTGGCTGCAGAGGCTGCTGAGGCTGCTTGGGCTGTTGCCCCTTCTTCGGACAACGGTTCGCGAAGTGTCAGGGCTCATGGCAATAGAAGCACACATCCTGACCAAAGTGAAACTCGCCTCGGTGATGTCGCCCACATGTCGGGCACTGCGGAACCTGCTGAAGCCTCTTCCGGGCCCTCTTATCTGTCTGGGCACCCTTATCCTTCCTCTTGTTGTTCTTCAGCGGCTGGGTAGATGGTAAAGCTGACACCGGTGGAACTGAAGACGACTGACCACGAACGGCCTCCCTCCTAAGGCTAGCATCCACCTCCTGAGTAATGGAGACTGCACGAGCATACGTCTGGGTCCCGTGACCTACGATGTTATGACGGACTGCTGGGTAAAGCCCGTCAATGAAACGCTGCACTCGCTGGGCCTCCGTGCGGACCAGATCAGGAACAAAAGCTGCAAGTCTCGTGAACTCTCTCTCATACTCGTCGACAGTACGAGTACCCTGCCGGAGCGATAGAAACTGACGCTCCATCTCTGCTCTGTAGTAGGTGGGATAGTACTTCTCGCGGACTAAGTCCTTGAACATCTCCCACGTACATCCCGCCTTCTCACCGGGGCGCATGCCCCAGTAAGCGTTCCACCAGAGCCTAGCATCTCCGGTGAGCTGAAGCTGAGCGCAAATGACGCGATATCTCTCAGGGCACTCCATGACCTCGAAGATAAACTCCAGGCCCTGAATCCACTCGTCAACTACGCGAGGGTCTCCCTGCCCTGAGAACTTCTCGGCGTGATAGTCGCGGAACTGGGCGACCACGGTAGCCTGAGTTGGTGCCATCTGAACATTGTAAAAGTTCAAAATTATTGAACGTGATGATATTCTGACTGATTACTAAGGCACACAGATCTCTTGACGAGTTGCCAAAAATGGCCGATAATTACTGACATGAAACCTGAGGAACTCTAGAGTCATACTGAAGATACTAAAGTCTAGAGTCATATCTGAATGTCCTGAATTCTAGAGTCAAGCCTGAATGCACTGATTTCTAGAGTTATATCTGAACTCTAATGTCTGAATCTGAATTGAGCATCTTAACTTAAGTCTGATTACTGATTTCTGAGCATAGACAAAGTAATATGTTTATAACTGAAAAACTGAATCAGCACTTACCTGGAGTCGGCGAGGCGTGAGCGTGACGGTTCAGGTTTTTCTGAAATTTTTTTACTGAAAAACTTTTCAGAGACGCAAAAACGCGCTCTGATACCAAGCTGTAACACCCCGCTATTTTTAATACATCAGAGTGCGCGATTTTTCGCAAATTTTCTGAATAATTAAATAAGATACTAATTTTTTTTTTTTTGCGAAAACTGATCGGGATGCTACCGTGAAAAACTTGATTTTCTGAAAACCGTTAAAATTTTTAAACTGATAAATAAAACGGTCATAATGTCTTATCCGACAAACATCAGAACAAAGTCTGATAAAAAGTACTGAAAAGATTTAGCGGAAGTCTAGCGTGGCAAATCATAAGTACAAATAACATAAATGTCCTGAACGGCTTGCCCGCTCACTCCTCATCTCCGACCCTGCGACCTGAAAAACATCAAAGGTGTGGGGCGTGAGCACTAAGGCACTGTGCTCCGCAGAAACTCATGCTAATGTACAACATCGTGAATAATAACATGATCATGAACTAAGCATATATTGCTGAACTGAACTGATATCTGATAACTGATAAAACTGGTCTGATCTCGCGACCGAAGTCACGTAACTGATAACTGAATCTCGCGACCGAAGTCACGTAACTGATAACTGAATCTCGCGACATAAGTCACGCCTGAACTGAACCTGAACATCTGTCGGCAAAGCCGGACGCCATGTGCACACTCTAGTGGGCAGACTAGGGCCACTAGAACCCAAAATGGACCGGCGACCATTCCGAGCGGACCTGAATACATACCTCGACCATGGTAACGTAATTAGAAACCATGTAGTACTTAGTCTGAGTCCCCACCTGAATTTGCTGAACTGAAAACTGAAGGGAAGTGCTGATGCATGATCAAACTGAAAATAATATAAACAATTACTATTGACTATGCTCAGACTGATAAATTTAACTGTTTAATTATGTAAAGATGCTCTCTCGAATCTAACATGATATTCGGACTTAATCGATATAACTGAAATCGGCTAAGTACGGAACTGAACTGATAATAATTAACTGAACTGAACTTGACCCGGAA